TTTTATAGAATATGAAATAAATATGTGAATTTTTTTATCTAAATTAATATAAATATGCTTATAAATATTTATATAAATGATACCAAACAATTAATAAAGCTAGTTGCCAATCAAAAGGCGTTTGGGTGATGATATTTTTCATTTTGAGCTGAATAATAGTGATAATAATTTTTTCATCACGACAAGCACAGGTCATTTCACTTTGACAATTGGTTCCTTGTTAGCTGTCAAATCCCCAGCAAAAGAACTCCTTAAAGAATTATGTTAACATGTGAAAGCCCCGTTACCTTAACAACAATTTATTTGACTCAGAGACTCTGTCTAAGTTTCAAAGAGGTCGGTTCATCATTAAAAATAATAATAATTTTTTTTGATGTCAACTAAATTGATTCCTCAGATCCAATGCCAATCAAAGAGGCTGGATGTATTTGACCAGAGATTAGCCAAGATTTTGCTTCATCTATTATAATATACTATTATCATTCTTTCTAATTTAATACGATGTGAACGCATCCGCCCAAACGTGTCGGGGCAGAGTTTGAACCAGAAACCCATCTATTACGATTTTACAATATATTATTATCATATTTGGAATTTTGTGATTATTATTATTCACCAATTACTGTAATTAAGTTAAATAATATAAATCCTTACAAATATAAAGGATTTGGCTTCTAAAGATAATTTTAAAATACTCCTTCAGTTATATTATAAAATGGATCTTATATTTAAAACTGAAATAATACTAAAATACGATCTCAGTTATCCTGCACGATCACGCAGGTATTTTCCATATGATATTAGTGACAACGTTAAACAAGTTTGCAGGTTAATGGTTATCGAATAGAAAATACAATAATTTGCAAGGATTATCTTAATGAGAAATTTGCAGTAAACTAATAAATACAATTACAGGACTTAATTAAAATTTCACTTGTCCTCCCCCCCCAAAAAAAATTTCTTTATCCAAATAAATATGTTACAAATAGAACAACTTACCTCCAACTTATTTATAAATTGGCTATGGAAAACGAAGACTTCAAAATTACAAGAACAAAAACTTTTCTTTCGTGCTAAGCAACTGAAAATTACAAGTAATGAAGTGTACTACGTCAAGCCCATTTAGCTATAAGAGACATTAAACCAGCACCTAAAAGTAAGGATAAATTTGATCCAATCTGAAGACGACTGCTATTTTGCATTCTATCAGTCATAAAATCTGCAGCCAAAAGATCAACAAGTGCCATATATATTAAGATTCCTGCCGATGCTGCGTTAAATATTCCTTCAACGATCAAAGCATTCTGGCTATTCTCATCATACACATTCGTAATTCCTATTCCAATGGCTATTCCTACTGGAGTCGTCAGAGCAAAGAACAAAGCCATCACTGTAATAGTTTTGTTCTTGAATTTCGCCTGCAATATGGGATTAAAAAACAAGGAAAAAAATTATAAAAATAAATACGGGACTTTGTATTTGATTTTTTAAAAAATAAAATAAAATGAAGTTGATTGATACAGCTAATTAACAGATGAGCCGTAACCACAGAAATTTGCGGATTTGGAATATATTTCTGTGTGCGGTTCATATCCTTTTGCCTTTTCATTCGACAAAGACGATATTAATTAAAGGCTTAATAGCATATTTAATCTGAGACCGGCCTCTCTCCTCCACTCTTCTCCTCCTTTATCACCACTGGATCAAATCTTAATGGTCCAGATTTTATATTTTAAAAAAAAATTATTATTTTTGGACAAAAATATTTTAATTTTACTTTAAATAACACATAAATAAATCTCAACTGTTAAAATATGATGTGAAGAGTTCCCACAAAAAAGGTCTACTTTATAATAATAACAATAATAATTTGATCTAACTAGTGTAGAGCCAAAGATTATTATTATTATTATAAAGTAGATTTATTCCTATGAACTTTTCAGATCATATTTTAACAATTCAAATTTATCTATGTATTTTTCAAATAGAGGAGAGAAGCTAGGTGTCTTTAATTTTCAATTTTTGAAATTTAATTTCATTTTGATTTTATTCATAAAATTTGAAATCCACGTCAAGAGATTGACTTTTATCGATGACATTAAACTTTTAGGGACCAGCAGTAACCCTTAATTAAATTGAAAACGTACCTATCCTATGCCATAGAATAATGTTCTTTTTGACTTTTCAAAACGTACCTGAGTGATACAGCTTCCAAGGACCCATGCCTTCAAAAAATTGATGAAATGTCAAGGCAGCAACCAAAGGCCTTATGGTTTTGGGACTCTCAGATGCTCCCAAAGATATCCCAATTATCACTGAATGAACTATTATCCCCAGCTCCAATACCTTCAATTCCGTTCAAAAACCCAAATCATTTTCCCACAATTAATAATTCAATTTTCACTAATATTCTTAAACGGAAAAGGAAAAAAAGAAGAAGCAGCAAATAATGATGATCTATCTGTGTTTATATATATATATATATATGCGCGCGCACACACATACACACTACCTTTTCATTCTTAATATAAGAATTTGTTTGATTGTTATTTTGATCCTAAATATAATGACCTTAATCCACTTTGTCTATCATATTTATGTATTTTCTTTTAAATTAGTCATTCTAATAATGATAGTTCTAATCAATAGACTTGATTAGTAAGGATATTTTTTGAAAAAATAACATCTATTTATTACAAATAACTAACTTAACTTTTTTTTTAATCTCCTCAAATTAGTTAACTAACTCTTATAATTAGCGCCGGAGTACATACCTGTGATATGACTCTGTGACGAAGGAGCTGAGATGAAGCAGAATCAGATGATCCATGGGCATGGCCATGAGTGGCGTGAGTGTGAAGATGAAGATGACCATCATGTGCTGAGTTTTTCTCTTCGTCTACATCATTGCCGGCTTCAATCGGGCCATTATTGTTCATATGGTGTTTCTTGAAATACACAGTGGCGAAAGCGTCCACCATTAGGGTTCCCATGGCCGTACACATGGCGACAAAACCAGTGAAGGGAAAGTCTCCCCATGGATGATCGCTCAGGCAAGGAGACGTCAAGTTTTCGAAGGCATCAGGGAGGACGTGAATGAATCCGGTGGCTAATATCACGCCAGCGGCAAACGCCTTGACCATGAAGAAGACGTCCTTCTCGGGACTTAAAGCCGGCACAAACTTTCCGATGACAGGAATCAAAACTCCGACAGCACTCGCAATCAGTATAGAAGCTATGGCTGCTATTTTGTACCTCAGAGCCTTGTCTCTGTCACGATCTTCGTCTTCATCTTCACATGTACACTCTGAGACAACCAAAGCAGGAAGCACAACCAGGAGGAAGACGAAGAAGACGAAGGCCTTGGATGCTCTGGCCGCCATCATGGTGTTTCGAGAAAGGGAGAAACCGGAGAAGCACTTAAAGTGGGCGTGAGAGAAATTTTGGTGGGATTTATTGAAAAATATGGCGACACGTAAAACTGGAACAATTGGTTTTATGTGGGTGATTTGATTTGATTCATTAAAAGCAATGAATTTGAGGGAGAAATATAGAAAATATTGAGTGACTTTAAAGCGAAGAGAGAGTATATGTAGAGTGTCGTTAAATGTCGACATATCTGCTAGCATAGCGAATAACATATTTTAGTTTACTCTGTGGTCAACGGGTTCACATGGAGACTTACCCTATTATGTCGAAATGTTTTGAAATTTTCGGTTAATAATTAACATAGCCAAAGCTAATTATGTGGATCCACCGTCCACACTATCTCTAATTTTACCCCCTGAAAATAGAATGAATTACTGGACGAGCTCTAAATTACACTCTTAATTTTTATTAAAATTTTCTTATTTTATTAGTCATGTGATATTGAGTATCTACGGTGTTAATAATCTTTTACATATTTTGAACAAAATTTGCTTTTTAATCATTTTGTTATAATAAGTCATTAGACTCAACCCAAATTAGTATTAGTAGTATTATTGATGATTATATTAGATGATCATGATGTTGATTTCACTTAATTTTGAATCCTAATTTCAGATAGTCCCGTCATGGAGTCAATTAGTGGACACCTTTAAACTCGACACAAACTTTAGCATCCAAAAGTCGAAGATATACGTTCTCCCGTTTGGGATATCCCTTTATAGATGAGGTGGTCCAAAGCCGCTAACACTGCAAGAATCCTAGTAAGTTTGTCCCCAAAACACTAGGATCCTTGAAACGGGTAATGTTTGAGTTAATGATATTATCCTCGAATTACTCTTGCTTATTTCCTTCATATGATTCGATCCACAAAGGTCCAAGTTTGACGATAAAAGTCAATTATATTCGAGTGAACAATCGGTGGGAACTTTTCACCAACCCAGAAGAAACATTGAAAAAGTCTATATACTCTTATCATTTCCTATTTGTGCATCAAAACTCGCTTCTTTATTTGAAAAAAAATTAGTAAAAGCTAATGAAGACAAATAAAGAGATCCCTTTTTAACTTTTATAATGGGAAGTAAGATTCTCTTTTGCAAGATTTTTTGTTGGTCCGCAGGAAGGAGGTCTGTATTGTTCAGACGCAACTTATTATAATCACTAGTGGGGCATTTGTGTTGGGTTTTAACTGCTCATGCAGTCTCTTTCGCTATTGTTGGCCGAACAAAGAAGCAAGAAAAGAAAGTGATGAAGGGTGTTCAAGCCACTCATGAAACCCAAGCTTCAATTTGACACGTCAGCTCTTCAACAATTAGTCTGTCCCAAGTAACAACAGGGGTTGGTTGAGTACAAACAACTGGGGCTTCTAAGAACGTTGATTTCCCTCAATTGAACCTTGACAACACTTAAATCAGGACTCATATATATACATATATTAATTATATTATATGACAGGCGAGGCCTGAGGTGGGGATCAAACCCTAAATCTGATGCAACAAAAGGCACATCTCATGCCACTAGACCGAATGGTCTTTGGCAAGTTGAATCCCAGTTAAATGTATAGAAAAGAATTTGTCTGTCCCAAGTAAACAGATTCTCACACTACTAAATTCCATTTAAACCAATATTCAAAGGCCAAGTATTCTGGAGGCAACTGGGCCGCCAGCAATAGACATCTCAGCAGCATATACATAATAGAAATAGAAGGCCAACCAGAAGAGAAGAGGGAAGCCCAAATATATAAAGAAATTTAAAATTCCACCCATAACAACAAAATCTGGAATTTAGAGCCTACCATTTTAACAAGAAATTGTGTCATTGATTTCCCTCACTTGGTGGCCTGTGCAATTATGTTACTCAGTGAACTGGCTTCCTCCTTTGCAGTCTCCACCAATGCATCCTGAAACCCAATACATTAAACGATTTGTTCTTAAGGGTTCACAGGAAGAAAATGCCCCACAGATAAATTGACAAAGGCTGTTGATTATTATACCTGTGCAGCTATCAACCGAGCAACTGTTTTCTTGCTGGACTCTTGAAGCTCACCAGCAATTAGAAGTTCGTCTAGTATATAGTAGGCCTTCCATCATAATCAAATCAAAGAACGTATCAGATAGGATCTTATCAAACTAAAGAATAGGTTATGTTAGTATTTAAGTTTTGCATTTGACCCTTTAAATTGACTTCATGATGAGAGATAGTTTAACTTCTAATCTGTAATGAAATTTCATATCATGTATATTATAAAGCGTCAACTCTGTCAAGACAGCAACAATCAGCGTCTTATTTGTCTACTGACTTGGTAGACGAAACCCAAGTTTTAGAGTACATATGATACCAATGGGAAATTAGAAAACCGATATATCATGAAGGAAATTCATGGGACAGACATACTAATTTAACCTTAAAAATGAACATATTAAATTATCATTTGGAGTTGATTCATCTTGAACATCAATAACAGCAGCAGACTAACAAGTGATAAGGCACAAACCTTGTGGAAATTAAATATTAAGTCCAACTCACATACCTGCAACAGGTCAAGTACTTGATATTAAAATAAAGAAGAAATACGAGATTCTTGGATCCTTTCCAGAAAGAATGGGAAATATTTCTGTTATACAATCAGCGCCCTTATAAAGTGAAAGCTTAAAAGAACTCACACTGCCAAAATATCGATCAAGGATCTCAACATAATGATGAATGATTTCAAGCACTTCTAATTCGTTGTCATCTTGGTCAATACACATGCAAAAGTAGAGGCTAGCATATCTGCAGAGGACATCATCCATTTCAATAATGAATTGATGATTGTCAAGATAACCAGAAACGTGCTCTTCAAAGCAGTAGCAATATATGATGAAAGGCCATGGTTTCTCGGTAAAATACCTTTTATAAACAACTTTATATCCTCTCCAATCCACAAAATTACAGAGCTTAGGAGCACGAGAAAGAATCACTCCACTGAGCTCACGGATAACCTTTCCAAAAACACAGATTTTTCAGCCAGAGATGGATCATGAAGAAATACAATGAATTCAACATGGAGTTATATGATAACATCATTACTTATGCAAGATAAATTAAAGTCAAATTAAACATAGATATATACACTACTTGTAGTAAGTTAAAGTACAGTTGTAATAAGAACTGATCTGTCCAGCAATCTTTGGAAAATGAAAAATAGAAAGCACAGTTGCCAGAATTACCTTTGATCTTTCTTTCTGTGTGTAAGGTGAATACCATTTTGTAAGTCTCACCTTCCCTTGACGGCTAATAAGCAGCACAAAGTGAATCTACAAGTAACCAAGCAACAAAGGATGATGACAATGGAAACAAACCAAAAACGTTAATCCAATAACATGATGCAGAGTTGCCGGTGTAAAATAACACTTCCACATTCTGTCATCTCCGTATTAAATATTACAAGTTAATAATCATAAGATCAAAGGAGGCTACCTAAAAGCTTGAGTGTTCTGACCTCAAGCATCAGATTATCCTGGTCATGGGTGAAGACATCCTATCCTATTATCATAAAGTCATATGCATTTAACATGATGAGAACAAATAGTGGATGCCACCTTCATAATTGGACTCCCTCTTGGCATCAATTAATACTATCAAACTTGGAGATAAAGATATAACAGTGCAGCATTCACACACATTGAAAGTCCTCATTAGTGGTAGACACGCACACCCATTTTATCTATTTATCCCTGAAACTAATAATGTCAATTAAAAAAAAAAAAAAACTGAGAGGATCCAAATCTAAACATATGAAGGTTATGTGACGAAACCTGCATGTAATAACCGGCCAAGCTTGCTAATAAACCAAGGGTAAGTAATAAATATCAACTAGAAATAGGAACCAACGGTGAAGCTCTTGATAAAATCTGAGCCCATATTTATGTAATTCAGGGTAAACTTTAGATCAAGACGCAGGAAAACTTTTGAGAATGCCTAAGGAAGTATGGATTTTTCTGATTTGCTTGGTGCATCACTTCATAGTGCAAAAGCACTACGGAAAGGCGGAGGAAGAACAAAAAGTTGTGGGACATCTGGGATTCATTGCTTCGCCAGGCATATGTAGTTTTTACTATTTCCTCTTGATCTAAACGTTGCGCTAAGCTACAACTGATTAGGTCATGAAAGAGATTACCAAGGGAAAGCCACTGATCTAATGAAATGTCCGCCCAATTTACTGGCCAATAACAAATGAAACGAAGGCTAGCATCAGGGTGTAACTAATTCTTCACCATTTCTGCTCCTTTAGAGGTGCAGGTCCTCCGTCCATAAAAAAAATCTAAACATAAGGAAGTTGAAAAGCATTGAAATAATAAGAAGGGTCGATGTACCAAATCCACCAGGGAACTCAGATCTCGAAATTAGCAGGATCCCAGTTAGCGGATCACGATTGGAGCGCATATGTATTTGGAAGGGAAATAAAATTATCGTGAAAATGTATCAACAGCATAAAGAACAACGATTTCATCCGGATGCCAAATCAAAAACAGAAAAGACGACTTCCGTATAGCATAAAACTAAAAATTCTCAAGCTAGTCAAAAGGGTTTCTGCTCATCACCAGAAGAGGAGACCGACAAGCAGAAGTTCAATTGGGAAAAACATGAACTTAATAACCAATACCAAACAGTAATTTCTGCATTGAAATCAAAATAACCAAATCGAGCATAATTGTGGGCGAGATCCAGTTTCTCACAGGAACAATAAGAATTCAAGACTGGGAGAAGCTTACCATTTGCGTCTGTGGGAAGATTGAGGACACGAACCCCACTGAATCACTTGCCCAAACTCGAGGGATACGGGAAATCAAAGAGCACCCTGTTCTGCAATGGCCACTCCTCGCGAGGATCAATTGCGGACTCGGGGAATAAATACCTCAGTTAAGGCTAGAGTCAATAAAGATTCAGAGAAGGTAATAGATATTTTTAACTTTTTTAACGCTTCGGAGTCATTTTGTTGAATTTATTTTATACTATTATCTCTAGTCCTAAATATAAGAACGGACTAATTTGAAGAGATTAAAAAAATAAATCAAGTTAATTATTTGTAATAAATAGATATTGTTTTTCCTTAAAATATTCTTATTAATTAAATATATTGGCTAAAAATATCATTATTAAAAGGACTATTTTGGAAAAAAAAATATAAATGTAAGAGACAAAGTAGATTGAGATCTTATATTTAGGACCAAAATAAAAATCAAACAATATCTTATATTCAGAACCGGAGGTAGTATTTCTTAGTACATAATTAAATATAGCGGCATAAAATTGCTTTCACAATATAAATTATTGTTATTTGGCTGAATTCTCTGATCAATTTAGTTAGTATTTCCTTTTCCAAAATGTTGTTTTCATTACATTATTAAAATGATTAGACCTATATACAAATTTATTTATTTTTCATTATCATATTTTTCCCAATTAACTATTATAAAAATTAATAATTCTCTTCTAATAACATGATAGGTATATGATTTATAAGCAAATATACAATAAGATGTAAAAGTCATACTTGTATAAAACTTTTGTCACAGATTCTAATGATGGGAATAATTCAATTGTGTGCATTGCACGTTTATTAAGAGGGTGTTTGAATAGAAACAAAATCATTATTTTAAAAGTGTTTTTACAGTATATGAAGTAAATATGTGGAAGAGTTTGCTTCGATTTGCGAAAAAGTGCTTTTAAAAAGTGATTCTGAAGTTATCAAAACACCCCCTAAATATGATTTAGAATTTGCACTGCATATTATATTTAGAACTGAAGGTAATATAATTTAATTTTAAGTATATTTCAAATTTTTACAGGCAAAAAATTGCATAGTACCGCTGAATATAGTTGTGCCAACTTAACAAATTTCGAGTTTGAACCAACCAAAAAAAGAAATTTCCTGCTCAAAAAAAAAAAATTTGGAGTTTGAACCAACAAAACGTTTGGTGGCAAGGCTTTGCCATCTGCGAGGATCCCCCCTGGCTTAATTCAGATTGATTTGGGTCCCCATAAAGTACTCAAATTACAAGGCAAGCCCAAAGCTCAAAATAGTGGGTGGTTCAATGAAAAGGAAAGAAGAAGTCATATTTTAGTAATCTATCCTATGATGAAAAAGCAGAACTGTTTAGTTTGACTTGTAAATATCATAAACTGAAGGTAGAATGATTACAGAACATTGACCTTTGCTGAAAGGAAGCAGGATAGGTAAAAGCCAATGAGATGTGAATTAATAATAATAAGAGACTAAATCAGTGATAATTGCAATACATTCATTCATACACAGTTAAACTAAAACGTGTGCGTGTGTGTGTATCTATCATCAGAATGACTTTGGCAGCATCACATGAGCCGTTGCATCTTTCTTCATCTTCCTTCTCTTGAACTGTTTCGACGCAGCTTTCAGCACCTTCGCCCATCCCTGTACATATTATCATCGACAATTTATTTCTCCAGCAATCACTACCTTGCAGATCCTAAATTCTAACAATTATTTAGTTCATAAACAACCACACTTAATCTAGCCTTTTCATCCCATAAACAAACATTTTCTTCACATTTGATCAATCAAATTTCATGTTTGTGAGTTTTATCCCAGTCCATGTAAATTTGATCAACTAGAACTAGATAGCACACACAAATTAAGAATTTACACTAAACCCAGGTGGATTATTACCTTCATAACGATGGGATTACAGCCAGTCTTCATCCTTGGAGGCGTAGGAGACAAATCAGAAGGCACAATCTTGTTCTTCTTCTTCTTCTTCTTCATATTCTTACTCTTAAGCAAATCCAGGTTGAGATTAAACGCTGTGGTGGAGAACTTCTTCCTGAGCTTTGATCCAACTTTCTTGGCACTGCTTTTATCACGAGCACCAAACTGCAAATCAATCTCATTGTGATCGAAAGAAACATTCCTGAAGGGGGTGAAGGAGTCCAGATCCATGGGAGCGAAAGGTCGAGAGATCAAAGGAGACCAGATTGAGCTCTGCGAATAGTCGAAGTCATAGGCTGAGTTATCTGGGAACTTGCCCAGAAGCTCTATCGACATTAATGGCTCCAAATACTCCACCACTTTCGCTGTTCCCAGAATCAGACTCTGTTCTTCTTCTTTTTCTTCTCCTCCGTGTGCGGCCATGAACGATTGAATGATTAGTGTTATGTTAGATTGTGAAAAGGCTATTGCTGTTCTTTTGTTCGTTTTGGTTATGTTTCCGTTGGGTGGATGTGCTTTTTGTAAAGGCAGGTAGAATAAATAGGAAAGTGACCGTTGCCCTGTCTCTATTCTTTGTATTTCCACTTTTGCCCTTGTGCAGTTTTGATTTCCCAATCAGATCCTATTGTGGGTCTGGGCTAAACCATTTGTCTCGTGGACTGGACTTTCCGCATATAATTGTGGGCCTTTGACCCAATTTATTGTTCCAGTGGACTTCACGTTTTAATGCTTGCGGACGATGATCGTTTCTTTTAATAATTCAAATTCAAATATTTTTTTTTGGTATAAACCATTCGGTATCCAACCGTGCCTTTTCTGGACCCCAGCCTCTTTGGACCAGTTGTACCCGAGCGATCGACTAGTCCGGATTCGGGCCGGACGACAAGTAAAGCCCTCCCCGGTACTCTTTTTAACAAGTGAGGATTCGAACCCCCGTCCTCAAAGAGCAGAGACTCGCCTCACTTGTGACCTAGCCAGTCGCCACTAGGCCAGGAGTATTCGGGTAATTCAAATTCAAATATTTGCTATGGAGATATTCCCTGCGGACAAATGCTGTGTGAGCTAGAAGGTATTTTTTGGCAAAAAAGAAAAGATCTGAAAGGTATTTTGTACTCCTCTTGTGCTTAACACAAAACCTATTTAGAGAGCTAATGTTGGTTCTAAACATAAAAAGTATTTCATATAATTATCAACTTTTTTTTTCATTTAATCCTATTGATGTTTCTCCAACAATAATCAAGTAGGAGACATAAGAAGAGAATTAAAAAGATACTTAGGTTGTTTTAAAATAAACATATCATATTAACTAATTCAATTGACATCTTTAATCTACTCAAATTAGTTAATTAAGTCTTATATTAAGGACAGAAAAGATATTATTTAACTTAGTTTTAATGTAGATGGCACATAATTTCATTTTATTAATTAAATTTTTGTGAATAAAAATATTAATTAAATTTGTAAAATTTAGGATTGAATATATGTTTAAATCTTGTATTATCCTTGGTTTAAATTTAAATAACTATCAAAAAATTATTAATTCATATTTTTACCCCCAAATTACAATCAACAATGTATAGTTGGGTTAAAGGAGGAAGAACTTAGTTTTCCTTAATAAATAATAATAATTAAAAGTGAAATAAAAAGCTACAAATAATTATTTAATTTCATCGAACGGAAGGAACTTGCTTCTTTTCAGACCGGAGCTTGGATGACTTTTTTTTTTTTTTTTACCAGCAGAGGTTGGATGATTAAAGCATTGTAAGGGGAAGGGAAAAAAATCATATTTGGTGAAGTGCCTTTAATTGGGTTTATAGTACCACCTTCAATCTTAAATACAAATTTTTATATTTGCAATCGGAGGTAGTATCATATATCAGCTAATTAAATAAAAAATGAAATAGAAAAGCATTTAGATATTAGAATTAAAAACCGCCTGAATCTCTTTATCTCAGACCAATGTGTGTGTATTTTAACCAAAAACCAATCAATTTTTTTTTTGCCAAAAACCAAAGACCAATGTACCACCTACCTCCGATACTTAATATAAGAATTTATTTGACTTTTATTTTAGTCCTAATTATAAAACCTCAATCTACTTTGTCTTTTATATTTATCCATTTTTTTCCTCAAACAGTCTTTGTAATAATAATAATTCTAGCCAATATACTTAATTAACAAGAATATTTTAGAAAAGACAATACATATTTATTATAAATAACTAACTTAACTAATTCTTTAATTTACCCAAATTAGTCATTTAATCTACCACACAAAGTGTACATATGGAAATTTGCCAAAAAGAAAAAGTATACATGCTGAAAGAGAAAGAGAGAATCGCAGTGAGTCTTAGGAAAGAAAATAATTATGACTAAGTTCTAATAAAACTTGTCATTGCAAGCTCCTCTTATTATTATTATTAGAACTTTTTTAATAATTATATTATTTATTTGGAACTACGTGGCAATTATGGAGAAGCTAAGAGAGCTTGTGCTTGCTTCTCATAGCGAAAACCATTGGCCTTGGAATCATCAGCAGAATAAACAAAAATGCCGTAAAGCTTGTTTTCCCTCTTCAGCTTTTGAGACGCATTGAAGAATCCACCTTCTGGACTTAGCCCTTTATCACTTCCATCAGTTATAAAACTCACCAACACCTTCCCTCCATTATAATTCCTGCTCTGTGTATTGAAGTAACCCATGAATTGAGACACGCTCGTTCCTTTATCATACGCATAGAATTGGAAGTTGACGTAATCTATGAGGTTCCCATACTTGTTCCATAACGCCTTGTAATGGCTCTGAACTTGGGGATCGTCGTATGGAGCGATCGAAGCGAACTTGATGACTCCGTTGGATTTTAGGGTTTTGATTAGGCGCCCGATGCATTCGGAGAAGGTGTTTGGATCTGAGTTGAAGTGTTCGTAGTCGATGTCGATCCCGTCGAGGTTGTACTGTTTGATTATGGCTGTGAGTGATGAAACTGCGTTGGACACCCATGAATCAATGGAAGATGGGCTAAAATTGACTGGTTTGTTTCTCACGCTGTCGCCTCCTAGACTTACGGCCACCTGAAACAAATCAAATTTCAGTTTCTACATGCTCTGTTTTTGTGTGTTCAATGATAGGTTTTGATTTTCATGATCCATTCAGTACTGCTCAAATTAAGCAGAGATACTGAGATCTATCTTTTCTTTTTTTTTTCCTTTTATTTTTTTGACCGTGGAACTGAGATCTATCTAAATGGTGAGTTTCTGCAAATCTTACCCAAAGTATTTGGGTTTGTCCAAAATTAGTTCTCTGTGCAAATTTATCTGTTCTTATGATTCATGACACCTTTTTTTTTTAATATACATAATTAGAAGGATAGCTAAACGAAGTTATAAGCAGAATCCAGCTGTTAATTTTTCACTCATAATGGAGTTTTTATGCCATTGGACTATAAAACAGTTGACTTTATAACACTTGTTCAAAGAGGCAGCATATCCAGTAACTCTTGTAACTTTAAACAAAACAGCTTTAGTTATCATGGCAATCTCTTATTAAATCCTTAATAGTAGCACTTATTATTTTCAAATTCTGTACAGTATAAGAACCCGCAGATATAATTCAAAAACAAATGAATCACAGTCCGCAATCAATTGAGACATGCATATACTTGATAAAAGAATGAGGGATGTTAGTATATATCCATGAAATTTTTGAAGACAAAAAAGGGGATGTTCAAATGAAGCACTTAATTGGCACCTTGACATTGGAATGTTGGGATTTGATGGAAGAAACTTGGGAGGGGCTAAGATTGCCAGAGTCCCAGAAAACGTTGAATATGCCGTTGGTAGGAGAAGGAGAAGCAGAGGAATCATAGTCAATAGTGAAGGAGAGAATGAAGTGAAACTGGACATTTGGGTTGATAGGGACATCAGAGAATTTCACATTCTTAAACTCTGCTCCTATGTATTCTCCAAATATGCGTGAGGGGGATTTCTGTGCTGATCCCCCAAGAAGGAAGAACAAGAACAGAAAAGCTTGAAGGAAGCAGAACTTGGGAGCCTCCATGCCTTTCTTTCAATAATTGAAAGCTGTAGATTTCAGAATAAGATATACAGAGAGATAATATCACCAAAAGTTGTGGATAATAATTAATACCTCACAATAACGCAGCTAGAGGGAGATGTACGGCGTTTGATTTTTCTTTTGCTGTTGAAAAGTAAACGATGGGACCTGCAAGGGTCGGGTCCGACTGGTCGCAAACGGGAATGCAAAGTGCCTTTCCTACCATGTCATGGGCTCGATACCTGCGAGTGCACCTGGGATTAGTCTGGCCGGTTGTATTGGGATACCCTGAGGCAGCGATACCATCCTACTCGAAAAGTAAACGATGGGTATTTCGCCACTATTGTTGAACTTTCCTGTCCAAACTTGGTGGTAATCATCAATACAACAGGCGAGATACGTTGAATATATAAAGTGGGACCTATTCCCTTTAACCACTAATTATGTTTCTCTTCTTTTTTCCTTTTCCTTTTTTAAATGCATTTATTTATTTAAGTTTAAACATTCACATATTATTTTGGAAAAAATATTAAACTTTATTCCTTGTAATTTATCTTTAACATTTTGAACTTTATTTGTGATACTACTAACCATCATGACTAATCAAGACCGGGACTATAAATTGTTTATTTATAAACTTTTGTTTAAAATTAAAGAAGTAAGGATCCTTTTTTACCATTTAAAAAATATAACTGTGTTATAACTAAGAAAATTAAGAATTTGCTCTGCATAGGGATAAGCATCGATCTGTTGATACCTTCAGAAAGAAGAAGCGGAAGAAAAACTTGAGAACTTGGAAGCGATAGATGTAATTGGCGCAGAGAGAGATTATGTTGATATAATTAATAACAATACTTCACAATTCACACATCCCAATTGGACCAAAGTTCAGCATTAATGTGTGGAAAATAATCAGCCACCCCACTATTATATCCCTAGAGCTGAGAAACGGGCCCAACCCATCGAGCCGGCCCGTTTAAATCCATTTAAATTGAGGACTGAGCTTGTAATTTAGAGTCTTAAAAAAAAAACTTAGACTTAAAAAGGCCAGTCATGTAAGGCTTAAAAATAAACGAGCTAGCTTTATAGGGCTGTAGGCCGGCCCCGTTTAAGCCCACTAAATGTTTTTTTTCCCCTAACCTAAGTTCTTAACATTTTACACACTCTCCCTTTCTAAGTTTCATCTTCAGTCTTTCACTCCTTCTCAGCTTACAACTCATGATATTAAAATAAGTAAAATATATTCTCTATATTCCAAATCAGATTTCAAATTTGTATTTATTTGAACCAATAGTTATATATTAAAATAAAAAATATATTCCCCGTATTAAAACAAAAATTTGAATGATTGAACCAACAGATACATATCAATTTGTATATAT